GCCAAATGCAATTCTCTGCAGAGCTCTGGTTGGGCATAGAGACATTCCGGGTTTCCGATGCTGAGAATAGAATCTACAGAATAAAACCCTCTTTGGCGTTCTACGAAGAGTTTTGTTTGAGAGTTTGCAATCATCCACTCTGACCCACGCGTTGCAAGCTGGTCAAGGACCGGAATATCCTGTCTATCGTCCAACGTAGATATCTAGAGTAGGTAGTCTAGAGCCCTGGCTACTCTAGTCGGCAGGCGTTCCTCGTGACCAACAAGACCCGCGAGTTGTCTGTCCTGTCGTTTCCTGATGAGTCTCCCCGCATTGAAGCGTGCCCCGCTCAACTGCGGGGTCGCAGTGCTTGCTGGGCCCGATTCGCGATACCCGAGCAGGCGTCGGCGAACCATCAGGGGCGCTCCGGAGACAAGCGGGCTAAAGACGTCCTTGGACAGGAAGTTTCGGTCTGGATCAACCGGGTGCCGGGTGCTGTTCTCAGGTGAGGAAGGAGGTAAAGCGGGACGTCGGGTGGACCGGATTCAGAAATCACAAAGAGAGTGCCAGGATGGCTTGCCACGCCTGCCATGAGACCAGCCTGAAATCCGCTGGCCGGAACCCCGCGATTGGCTGCGGCAGCAGGGTGGAGGCTGTGTGTCATCGACCACGGGGGCTTCTCACAGGTCATCGAGACCTCATCGATTGCGCTGTTTCGCCTCATGGTCCAGAGACTGAGTGCACCCACGGCCAAGTTATCGCTTCTGCCGTCTTATTTGGGAACTACTCTGTCTACTTTAACCTCGAAATACACTACACGAAACAGCTGTCTGCGGCTTATTGGCTGACCGGTCTCGTTTTGGGGCCCAAGGGGAACACTTGAGTTGCGTACTGCATCGTTCCAGGTCCCGTCTCTTTTTTATCGAGGCGCCGAGGCGCAGAGTCACAATCGCCCATCCGGCCTCCGATTCGCTGGCACCTACCCGAGCTATAACATCGACACCACCCGCAGCAGCAGCGAGGGGGGCCTGACGTCGTGGCTCTCGTCCTGCGTTTGCTTCGGATTCCTCGTTGCCAATCGCCCACGGATCCGCATAGTAAGGCACAAACGAACAGCGACGTAGCTAGCACTTGCAGAAACAAATCACCGTCGCTGTAGAAGTATCAGGTACCCGATCTGAGTCGAGCGCCACTTCTCCGGTGTCACAGGACACGGGGATTCATCAAGGTAGAAAAGGTACGCGGATCGCATTCCCCCAAACCACGACCGGTCCCTCCACCACTGCAAACCGCCTCCTGACGCTGTCTCTGCGACTACGAACTAGGTTCTTCGACACAAGCTCCTCTGTCGATCAATTTCAACGCGCAAACCGCCACCGTCGGGGACAACCCAACCACCGTTGCGACAATGAGCTCCCCGCGACGCCGCATCGAGACGGATGTAAGTTTTCTTTTTATGGGCGACGTTGATGCACAACTGACGAGCACCCCGCAGGTGATGAAAATGTATGCAACCACCGACGCTCCCGTTCCGGATACTTCCAGTTGGCAGAGGGTTAATGAGACTGCTGGGTAGGCTCATGAGCGACTACGAGGTTACTCTGGTGAACGACAACAGTACGTACCTGCTTCTCAGCGTCAACAAGAGCACATGCTAACTTGACCCTACAGTGTAAGCCCAACAAGCGTGACGACCGGACCCGCCGATGCACATCGACGTCTAACACAAATTCCGAACAGGCAGGAATTCTACGTACGCTTCAAGGGCCCCGCAGAGAGTTGGTCTCCCACGCTCCTCCGTGAGCAGGCCATGGCTTACACGAGATAACAGCACCGTTCGAGGGCGGCGTATGGAAGGTCCATGTCGAGCTGCCGGACACATACCCGTACAAGTCTCCGAGTATCGGCTTTGTCAACCGCATCTTCCACCCAAACATCGATGAGCTGTGGGTAGCCATGCCCGAGGGGCAAAAGAAACTGGGATATCATCGGGCTAGAACTCATACGTGAAACAGGTCGGGTAGCGTCTGTCTCGATGTCATCAACCAGACGTGGTCGCCCATGTTCGACTTGATCAACATCTTCGAAGTCTTTCTGCCTCAACTATTGCGGTATCCCAATGCGGCCGATCCGCTGAACGGCGAGGCTGCGGCCCTGATCATGAGGGAACCCAAGAGCTACGAGAGCAAGGTGAAAGGTGCGATGAGCCGCATGCTGCAGCTAGCAGATAGGGGCTGGTGAGGAGGGATGCTGACGACGTTGCAGAATACGTTCTAAAGTACGCCAGCAAGGAGGCCGCCGATGAAGCCGGAGCCGAGAGCGAGGACGACGACGATATGAGCTCCATAGCGAGTTATGTGGAGGACGAAGAGGCGGAACCTGCTGGCGTTATGGACGACGTATGAAGGGGGCTGTCCGTGAGGGAGGAGGCGTTTTCTGAGATCTCTTGTTGGGACGTGGTGTAGGCACATACAGCGATGGATGGGAGCAGGGCGACCTTTTATGGTTCATTACACTTTGGAGTTTTTGGCTTTTTCGGAAGGGGTGGAGCTGGTACTGGTCGTTTCGTTTTTGTTTCTCGACCGCCATGGGGTCGCAGCGGGAACCCTCTGGCCGTGGGGTGGGAGATATTTTTAAGGATGGGTTAGGGTCGGTACACCGAGGATTTTTAGATCGGTTGGCGGCGCGTTGCTTTTATTCATCAGTCGTTTTTATTCAGTAACGTCACCTAGCTTGCCTGGGCATGTACTCTCCATATTTGAGATGTGTGTGTGCTGGTCATGGGGAGCTTAGGAGGTTATTCTCTCGGGATATGTCCTGTCACGACGTTGGAGCACCGATGAGGCTGACTTGTTTCGGTGTTTTTACTCTCTGAGTTAGGGATGGAAGCCTAGAATTTATGGGGGTCGTTTGGTGAACGATGTTTCTCTTGCAATATATTATTTGTCTTAAAGCGTGAAAAGTCGAAGGCTTCCACCCCCTAAGGGGTTAAGTTTCTTGCAATATAGTTTTTGTGTTTCTGCAAGAACTGTTTTCTGACGACAACCCTGCGTTGAGGGAGAAAAAAAAAAAAAAAAAAAAAAAAAAAAAAAAAAAAAAAAAACCCAGGTGGTAAGGAGTCTATATTTCTGAGAACGAACTCCTGGCGGGGTTATATATGATGTTTGTAACTGTATATTTCTTTATTCTATCTCAGAGATGGGTATCAATATCATTTCATTATTCATCATCATGTCGTGTCCTCCGGGAGGTATCAGGCCCTACTCCGAGTCAGAATCGTAGCTGACCAGCTTTGATGCCGCGGTGTCCTTGACTTCAGCCATTTCCTTGGACTCATTTCCGAGCTCAGCATCGTTGGTGACAGCCGGCTCAATCGCCGACGGAGCAGGCGGACCCGGCGCCTCCTCGAGGACGCGTTTCCTCTTCAACCCGGCGATCCGAACCGGTCCTTTCGATGCCCTGCTCTCCCCAAACCCCAGAAACGGATCCTTCGCCGCCCGCGTGTTTCCCACAATCTCGTCGACTAAACTCTGTCGCGTCCTATCGGCAGCAATTTCCGCCTTGAGCCTCTTTCGCCCTCCATCCCTCCCACCCTGTTTTTCTATCCCCCCAAACAACGGCCTCGCCAACGCCCTTTCCGCCGACTTGTCCGTGTCCACATCAACGCCTCCAAACTCGACCAGTCCCGCACGCAGCACATCCTCTTCCGTCCCCGGGAGCAACTCAATATCCAGCCCCATCCTCTCCTTCAGGTCTTCGTCTCTGCCCGCCTCCCTCTCCCTCTCCCTCCTCCCCACCCGAAACGCCTTCCGCAGCCGCTGATTCTGCGCATACGGATCCTCCCACAACTTCCCACTAACCTCGACCAACTCCCCAATCCTCACCGTCGCATCAACCAGCCTCTCGCGATCGGCAATCGTCTTCTCCAGCTTCCCAAACGCAGTCTCCCTCTCCTCGGCCCTCTCCCGATCCGTCAGCACCACCACACCACCGGTCTTGACCAAATCATCATCCCCCCCGCTCGGCATATCCCTCCGTCTCCCGCCCCTGACGACGACATACTCGGTATTCTTCGGGTCCGTGCGGATCTCGATCTCCCCGCCGCAGTCGGCATGATGGATAACAAAACTCCAGATGGGCGTGCTGTGATAGCTTCCGACGCGTTTCTTGTGCGCGTTGAAGCGTACGCCTTGCCCGATTATCGTCGGGCGGGGACAGTGTGCGCACCAGACGGCGAAGGGCATCTCGAAGCGGACGGTGAGGATGCCTTGGGACGAGAGTTTGGAGGCGCGCGAGCCGAGCGCGTGTTTGCGGTGCAGGGCGTTGGCGGAGACGAGGCCTTCTGACTCTGGGGGGACGTAGCGTCCCATGTTGAAGCCTTGCATTTTTGCGGTCGGGACCCCGGCGGGGGTTTATGGTCTTGGGGGTTTGTGAGGTTTTGGTTGTGGTTATCGCGGTCGCGACGGTGGTGATTGTGGTGATGGTCGTCGCGGTAGTGGCGATCTTATTGTTCGCGTTCGTGTGTGTTGATCTTGTGGTCGTGATAGTGGTGTTCTCAGTAGTCGTGATCGCGGTAGTGGTGGCTGCAGTGGTGACTGCCGGAGGGAGGAAACGTTGTCGAGTTGTTGTGGAGGGGTGGAGGGGCGACGAGGCTACGGATCAGCTTTGAGCAAGGATCAAAAGTGGCTGGTGGGGCAGCACGGCGGGTGGCTGCTGCTGACAGGGATCCCTCGGCACTCGTGCCGTGGACGACGACACCTTCAAGTTTTCCCTAACCTTCCAGTGATAAAGTGGAAAGAGGTGACCAGGTCTGAGCCCAGCACGAGATTTTCGGGGTTTTATTGAGTCCAACACATTAAAGATCTTTAGCTCAGCCCTAAACGGCTACATATACCGAGCGGCCCAGTGCCGAATGCAAGGGCCCGTAAACTCCACCAAGCCATCCCCACCGAAGCAAACACAGACTCATATACCAAATTCTGCGCCTCCACTTCCAACAAACAACGAAACCTCAAGAATCCGCCCGGCTAGCTCAATCGGTAGAGCGTGAGACTCTTAAGGAGTATTCCGTAAATCTCAAGGTTGGGGGTTCGACCCCCCCGTCGGGCTCAATTCCCGACAGCGTTTCCTGGTTTCATTTTTTGTTATTTTTGGTACTCTTCATCTTTCCTGTCCATTCTTTTTGCAGTCCACTCAGTTGTCGTTACTCCGTACCATGAACCTCACTCTCTCCCTTCTTACCTCCGCACCTTCACTCTTTTCCCGCCTGTAGGGCCAGGAAGGAGCACCCTCGTAGGATAGCGATACACATAGACTAAGAGGCACTGTCTTCAGCCAGCTCGAGGGCTTCCCTCTCCTCTTCCACAAAACAAGCATCCTTAGCACTGCTCTCTCACGCCGTTCTGTAACCGTTTTGATTCGGGAGGCTGCTTGTCTAACAGGTCCAAATGTTATTCTCAGATTGTATCTCTCTTTGGACCTTTGGACCCTATATTGGAAGAAAAAAAAAACCGCCAGTTCCCAGATATGCTTGAACATAATACACATATCAAAACATTCACAGTCTCAATCATGCAGTCCCCTTCCTCCGCCTCACCTCAATCGTCGCCTCCAGCGGCGGCACAATCGTCTGCCCAATCCACATCGGCTTCGGTCTCTGCTCAATCCGTCGAATCTCATAGTTCCTGACGAGATACGCAAGGATCATCTTCAGCTCGTGCGCCACAAAAAATCGACCCGGACTATCCTCGTCAGTTGCCTTCTCGGATCCAACAAGACAAACTCACCATGCATGTCGCCCGTGACTAAACGGTAGGTACGTGTCGCTCGTCGTCACCATGCCCAACCTCTTGATCCGCAATGCCTCCTCCGCATCCTTCTCCTGACGTGCCTCGAATTCCTCTCTTGCTCGCGAGAACCGGAACGCATCATACTTATATGGCTCCGGGTAGATATCCGGGTCGTGATGTGTCCCGGCCAGGTCCAGCATCAGAAACGACCCGTACGGCGCATGCCAGCCCTCCTTTGCGTTGGTAATTCCTTCCTTCGCGACCACTTTGCGATGCGTTAGAGCTGTCGCAAAGTGGCTCAGTCGCATACTCTCCCGGATGGCGCTGTCAATCCGATGTAAACGGGACAGCCCATCCTTGGTCCAGTACCCCGTCTTTTGCTCGGAGAACACCTGGTTCGCCTCATCCCGTAACACGCCAACCACGCCCTCGTCCGGACCGGAAAGCAGATCCAATAGTAGACCGTGACCTGTAATGACAGTCGTGTGGATGGCAGCAAACTCGATGGGCAATAAACTCTTGGAAATGAGCGAGGCCTCTAGCTTGTCCGCCCACCCGTCCGCCTGGGCCTGGCGGATCATCCACGTAATGAGACACTCCTCTGGCTCCCACGTGTCGTACTCGGGGTCACCGCCCGCCTTGCGCGCCATGTCGTGCTGACGCTGCTCGATCAACGGGCGGATCATGGTAAACGACTTGCGCCAGGTCCACCAGTTGGGCGCCACGACGAACCGTGCGACAATGGGATGTAGGATCTTGGGGAACATGTTGAGAATGAAACTGTTGCGGACCAGCGCGTCGGCAAACGCCACCTGGCTGTCGAGAAACGCCTTGTTCTTACACATGTCTTTGCCCACGAGCGCGCGATTCGTCACGCGCGGCACAATACCCAGCCACGCCTCCCACAGATTCAGCTTTTTCCAGCCATCGGTGTCGGTGCCGAACGTTGCGTCGATGCTCTCGTGTACGTCGTCCTGGATGCCGGGCAGCAGTCCAACCAGGTTGCGCGCCAGGTGCTTGTGCAGGGTCGTTATGGGGAAGTCATCATCGGTCTGGAGGAATTGGAACTCGGAGTGCATGATGTCGGCGTGCGCCTCCTTGGCTGACACGATGCGATCGGGGAATTCGAGGAGCCATGACGTCTGCGATCGGGGGACAACAATCTCTTGAGGCCGACTCGGCGCGGACGGGACGACATAGGCGCGTTCGTGCTTTGTATACTGGACAGGGTCAGCCGCGACTCAGCACAGCTCTCGGAGAACCAACCTTTTCGTAACCCTCTTCTACCCAGGCATTGAAGTGGGTAATGTAGCCAAGCCAATTCCTAACACTACCGATGATGCCCCCGCCAAAGCCCACCCTGGGTAGGGAGGCGGGATACCGTGGTTTCCATGTGAAGTCGACAATGAAGGAGCTGACGGTGAAGACGAGCAGGGCGACGGTGATGCGACCGGGCGTCAACAATTCGAGGACGTGGGAGCTAACAGCTGTCATGGCGGATGGACATGCTTTTCGAAAGCAAAAAGAAGAAGACAAGTGCTGAGAAGAAGCTGGGGACAGCCAGCCATCCCATGTGTCAGCAAGGCCATGTCGCTGTTGGTGGAACTCCCCGTTGGTCTGATGTTGTTGATGAAACAGGCGGCTTGTGCCGACAAGGGCGCCAAGGCCCAGGGGATTCTCACCCCGCCCCCACCACGGCAGCTGCGGGCGCTCGGGCCCTGCCAAGAAGTCTCCTTCTTCTTGGCCGCATGCGCCTGCAGCAGCTGCCGCTGGAACTGTTCACCAAGTGACAACTGCAGGCAGCCAGAGAGTCGATAATGAACGTCGTTTCTTGAATCCGCCAACTCTGCATCTGCACTCTCTGAGAAGAGATGCGCACAGCAGCGGGTGTCTCGTCACCATGTCGACCTTCAATGGCATCGTCGATGAGTTTCCGGAAATCAGAGGTATGCTGCATCGATTTTCAGCCCAATAGAACCAAACAGTGCTGACCTGAAAGTCGACTTCTTTCGCAATACAATTGCGAACCCACCATTGGCCTGTTTCCTGAGCCACATCCACAGCGACCATCTCGCTGGTCTAGAGAACCTGCGGTCGCCGTTGTATGTACACATCCAATTCATATTGTTTCGATATTAATCTTGTTCAGCGTGTACTGCTCAGCCGCGACGAGGGAAATGCTCCTCCGCCTGGAACGGTTCCCCTGCCGCATCAACTATGCCAAGGGCATTCTCGAAGCTCGCATCCAGACATACAAGCATCTAAAGAGCTTGCTTGTAAGTGGTGGCACATCCTAATGTTTCTCATACTAAGACCGCAGAAACCCCTACCACTAGAAACCTCGACTGTGCTGGAACTAGCCCCTGGCAACCATCTTCAGGTCACCCTGTTTGATGCTAACCACTGTCCCGGGGCTGTGATGTTCTGTAGGCTTGCCTAATAGGCTTTTGGGTCATACTAACCACTCCAGTATTTGAGGGTCACGGAAAGGCCGTTCTTTATACCGGTGATATTCGGAGCGAGCCATGGTTTGTCAATGCTATTGCCAGATCCCCGTCTCTAATACAGTATACTTCCGGTCTCAAGACCATCGACACTATATACCTCGATACCTCTTTTATCGATGGCCACTCCTTTCCTTCCAAAGCCGAGGGCATTAGCGAACTCTTAGAGAAGGTTACTCGGTACCCTGAAAACACTATCTTTCATTTTCAAGCCTGGACTTACGGGTGGGTAAATGCTCTCGCTGTAGAGCCTGTTCTAATTCCACAGATATGAGGATGTCTGGGTCGCGCTGTGTAAGGCACTCGGTACCAAGGTGGGTCTATTTTTTCATGGAAGATTCATCTCTGATTATACAGGTCCATGTCGACGAGTATAAAATGCTCATATACCGCTCGCTCGTTGCCAAAGACGCAACAGCCAAGTTTGGCACCCAGTTCCACTTATCTCCGGAAGCCCCTGGACTGATGGGCTTCATGTGTGGCAACACATACCATCCTGGGTGTTTGACGCTTGACCGAAACGTCCGACTGCACAGCTGCGAACGAGGAAACTACTGTCAGACCGTCCTCCAATCTAAAGTTGTTCGGATACAACCTGTTATAACTCGGCTGCCTGGCGGTCAAGAAATTGCCGAGTTGGGTGTTGGAGGAGGCGGGGACGATCTCAACAGAGATGCAGAGCTCGATTACATATTGCCTACCGAGATTGAGCAACTCGTTGATGCGTAAGTACTTGCTTGCTGCGGATAGACCACCATATCTCATGATTTTGTAGAATGTGCGACGACGATGACAGCTCACACGAACTCAAGGAACAGTTGCGAGGGTTCTTGATGCGTGCCTCCGGAAGCGGTAGAAAGATTCCGCTTGATCTCGAGATGGCTACTTTCGGGGAGGGCAGCGAAATAGGTCTGCGCAATGCGTTTCAAGCACTGGCGAAAAAGTCTCATCGTCAAGATCCGATCGGCGACAAACAAGCAGACTGGCTCCCCGATATTGTCACCTTCCCTTACTCTCGGCACTCTTCGTACCCAGAGCTCTGCCATCTCGTGGAAATCTTCAAGCCCAAAGACATATGGCCGTGTACTGTTGATCCGAAGGAATGGGTCGAGAAAGGCAGGTACTCCTAGCCTCAGGAAATAACACTGACACTTCAGTAGGCATCACGATTGAGGGGTTGTTTGGGAGACATGCATCAGCAAAGTCCTTTCAACACGATATACTGATGGATCAGATGGCAAGAGAGTCGGGCGTTGGACCGACAAACGACAGTCAGGCCACAAGCATGAGTTCTGCCAGCTCAATACCTTATGTTCCTCAGCATCCGACGAATGATGAAGTTGGGACTCAAGATGACCCGATTTCCGTCGTCGATGAGGTGGACCTACAAATCGAAGCAGAGCTCAGGGCCGCTTCCCAGAGAGAAGATGGCGCCTCTTTTCAGGCGCAGCCACCGCTGGCGGCAAGTGAGGATCCCGGGTCCCAGACTGCTGAGCTGGACAGCGTTTACATGGACGACTCGCAAGACTCGACGCTATCCGACTTCGCCTACCACACTAGACTCAGTGCTTTCCAGAAGACTCTCCGAGACTTCAAGAACAACACCGGCACTGAACTCGGTCTGCTCAGCACCACTGACGGTCACTCGAAGTTGGAGCTGGACCTAGGAAATGAGCGGGGCCGATGACCATATTTCTATTTTACAGCTGAGAGGTTTTGTCATTTAGAAATACCCGCGGATGGTTGTCACTCTCACCGAGGGTGAGCCTATTGGTGAAGGGGAGCGGTCGTGAGACCTCAGTATGAGGTTGATCGT